CTCTGCCACAGCGTGAATGAATCCATCTCGCGACTGTGGCTAGACTTGGCCAATTAGTTTTAGTTTGGACTAGGGGAGGGATGATTCAAGATAAAACTGGCTTATTAGCCACTATTCAACCTTAAAAATAGACTAGAATCTGCCTAGTATTTTTGACAAACCAAAAGTGACTCAAAAATTGGGTCAAGTTCAGTCCTGATTCAGTTTTAAAAGATTGCCAAAAACACATCCTAAAAGTCAACTGCCTTTTTTTTTATGCATAAACGCATGTGAGGCTATGAAATTTTAACCCTCAGTCCAGTAGACCTAAACTATGAGCATAAAGCTACTTAGAGTCTAATATAAATTAAACTTTAGTACATACAGGAATCATGCAAGATCCGGATCGATCGGCCTCCTCATCTTTCTATAAGCTATTTAACAAATGCAATTTGTACTTAAAATTTATTTTTTGATCCCCATATATTTTTTAAATCCCCCTAGTAATTAAGCTCAAATTGTATTATAAAAGGATCTACGGTCCCCAAATTGGGCTCCTCCGGTTTGTTCACCCACTCTGACTCTACTCTCTTGACTATTCTGGAAGAAGATGAATTTGTGGGTGGGTTTTGTTGTGCTTTGGTACCACTTGTTGTGCGCGGCGGAAGCCAAAACCAAACCGATGTGCTTCGAGAGACCAAATCAAACAAACCAAACCGATGTGCTTCGAGAGACCAAATCAAACAAACGCCGAGAGAAGGCCAAACAATGCAAAATAACGACACAAACTCAAACAAAATCAAACAAACGCCGAGAGAAGGCCAAACAATGCAAAATAACGACACAAACTCAAACAACCAATTTTATTGAGGATATATAGGGAAAGTTAGGGGAAAACAGAAGAGAGAAGATAAGAGAAGTTGAGGGAATCCCCTTCCCCACAAGTTTCAACCCGATTTAGGGGAAATAAATTTTATAATTTTTTGGGGTGAACTTCGGGGAACTATGGGGATAAAGTCATCCTCTAAATGTATTTCTAAATAAGGCTAATGAGTGTCCTAGCCTCACATTAACCCAAATCTAAATATAGGCCCTAAAAGAACTTGTTGTCTCCACGGCAGCTAGAAGTGGGTGGCTGAGGATAGGATACAACAGAAAAATTGGAAAAATGACTCTCATTTCTTTCATTTGGAGCTAAAAGAAACATATTTAAACTAGATAGATTAATTTGGGATAACTATTGTTTTAGATGAACTATTTTAATTATAATATCAAGTTTTGGAGGCTTCTTGCTAAGTAGACAAGATTTGAGGTATCATTATCTCACAAACCCTTTTATGCTGTAGTTATTGCTAAAAGAAATGGGGCAATAAATAAATAAATAAATAAATAAATCAAAGAAAATGATGCTGAACTCACACTGATTAATGTGCGGTTTTCTTAACTATCCATAAAAAATGATGCTGAACTTACAGTAGTGCTTAAGCAACTACCCATAAAAAACTAGCCCTACTCATAACTATCCATAACTAGCCCGTACGAATCTAATTAAGTGGGCCACATTAAGTCCCCAATAAAAGGACGTGTCTCACTTTCTCCCACTTGGCCCACAAAGTATTAACTAGATTAATCTTACAGGCATCAATTAATATGGCTGTAGGTTGCCACCTCTCGTATAGTACTCAAACTAGTGTGAAGATATATATATTTTTTTTCTGCTACATAATCTCAGTTTAATTACTATAGTTTTTTTTTGTTTTTTTGAATTGTTACGGTATCCCGACTCCGCACGGTATTCCAGTGTGCTACAGTAGTATTTTTAAAAACATTTTTCAGTTTCATGTTTGTTACCGCAAAATGTCACAGCTGATGGTACTGTAGCATTTACTGTAGTATGAATGGTAATTTTTTGGTTTTCCCATTTGTATAGAGGAGTAGATAAGGGCTCCAATAAGAAAATCATGGCAGCCTTGATCTATTTTGAACATTTCCTTCCATGTATCGCTATGCATCTTGATTTTTAAATGAACACAAGAAAAATGCTTAACTGATTAGCGTCATGTCTTTTCCTTTCTCTTCTTGTTCATTTTCTCCCTTCTTTATGTGGGGGGAAAACTTTTTCCTAGGAGTTATTTCTGCTTTGAATTGTATCCAGTTGCAGTCTGCTCTATATAATATGCAATGCCGAATCTAATTAAATGAATCAATGTGGATCTGAAGTTTGGATCTAAATTTTTTTTATTAGGATCAAAGTTGGATTAAAGTAGATCCTACCTTAACCTTAATCCATTGTGCACTGTCTTGCAAAGTTTCACATGTTATAAGAGAAAAAGAATACCACAAATATTAGGATGTGAGTGAATAACAATCTCTATTGTTGATTTATGTAGAGAGTACGACTTTCCCCTTTGATCCAGATTCTTTTCAATTTGCTGGTAATTGAAAATGGTCCAATTCTCTCAATACTTACCGCCTACGTTACATCAGATGGATGAGATAACGACACGTAAGCTTTCCATTGTTATCTTGAAGATCATTTTGATCTTCAAGATCACTATTTGTGTTAGTGAAAATTTTACATAGTATAATATCGTCCGTTAAAATTGAAATAGACGATAAGAATTGAGACAACTGAACCTCCCCAACTGCCACTTAACTGGAGAGGATCGGAATCCATTTGCCCCCATATAACTTACTGTTTTTTCCATGACACATATTTTGCAATGGAGCCCACATGGCAGATAAAAATAACTTTTGCAAGATCCGTGTCCTTCGGCATAGAGATCCACAGATAAGATTCTTTTTAAGCCCAAATTACTTATTTGCGACTAATTAAGAAAGTGCACCGTTTTTTTCTCTTTTCTACCCGAACTCTCGTGGAAATGGTCCCGGTCATCGACCTACTGAACTTACCGGAGGAGAACGGTAAGCTCTTGGCGGCCTGCGAAGGTTCCGGGTGCTTCCGGGTGGTCAACCACGGCGTGCCTGCTTCGCTGCAGGCGGAGATGAAGGCGGCGGTTGGCTCCCTCTTCGGCCTCTCCGACGATGTCAAGCGTCGGAACAAGGACGTAATCTTCGGCAGCGGTTATCGGGGACCGAGCCCGATCAACCCGCTTTTCGAGGCGTTTGGGATTTACAACGCTGCAAGTTTGGACGATGTAGGTGCTTTCTGCTCCCTCCTTAATGCTTCCCCTCACCAAAGGTAATTAGGAAATAATTATCTCTGTTTATTTGGTTAAATATTCGCTGAATTTTGACATTAATACTTTGACAGTCCTTTAAGCTAAAAATAAAATGTTCACTTTATTTTGTATCATATGTTTTTCCTTAAAATTTTCTACGCCATGAAGCTTACAAAGAGTAATATGAATTGAACAATAATGGCATGGATTCTGGTAAACATGCAAGAAAACTGAGTTCCACTGAGCTATCAATGAACTGAAAATTACTTTTAACGATTAGTTACAAACTACTTAAACTAAAACAAAATGAAACAACTGTATTCTAGTATTCCAACAAAAATGCTCAGATTTGAAAGGCAAATCCGAATTTAAATTTGAGTACATTCGGATTGATTCAATCATATTCCAGAGCTTAATACTCACAAATAATTTATGGGGTACTACTGATAACTCGATTATAATCCTATACTACTTTGTAATTTTATTTATTTATTTTTAATAGGAGGCTGGGGCTTGAACAAGGAAATCCCAGCCTACTTATTTCATTCCCCTAAAGTTGCTTGTTTACAAAAATTTTAACCACAAACTCCAACTTCAAAGGTGTCATTTACCGTTGTTTGCAAAAATTGGAGGGGAAAGCGGGGGAAAGCTTGCAAAAGTTCTGACTGGTTTTCCCCTTCTAATTTTTGCATCCAAACGGGCCCTTAATTAGCTACATCACATTATTCCATGGCTCTAGTCTCTAGCTACTTTCCCCTATACTATTTTATTTGTCCCTTTTTTACATCCTAAACTATTTTCTATCTTACCTTACTCCCCGTAAACTATTTTTAGTCTCACTTCACCCCCATTAACTATCACTCTCTCTTCAAATTTAGAAGATCGTTTGATATTAAAATGAAATTTCAAAGTGTAATTAAGCAGCGGATGAATTCAATATGGACTAAATATAGTTTAGGGGGGGAAGAGAACGGACAAATGCAATAGTTTAGATGGAAATTAAGTAGGGTATATATAGATCCTAATTCCATAGAAATCTCTCCATATAACTATTTTTGTACTAAACTCTCCATACATATACCTACTTATTATGAACAACAAAAGTGTGGTGTCCTTGATGACTCATTAATTTTGATAAGGAATGACCTCGCGCTTCTGTTCATTTTTCTTCAGAGAAGTCATCAAGCGTTATGCCTCCAAGCTCCACGCGCTAGCAGTTAGCATTGCAAGCGAGATAGCGGAGAGCATGGGCCTAGTGGGCTTCTCATTCAAAGAGTGGGCATGCCTGTTAAGGCCCAACAAGTACAGCTTCACGAAAGAGAGTGTGGGCTCTCCTGGTGTTTTCACCCACACTGATACCTCTTTCCTCACTCTCCTACAAGAAGATGAGTGTGTTGGTGGGCTCGAGATGATGGACGGGCCTTCAGGTGCATTTGTGGCCGTGGATCCTGTCCCTGGCTCATTTCTGGTCAACATTGGGGATGTTGGCAAGGTCAGTGGATACTGTTTGCTTCTTGCAACTTGGGATTTTAAGTTGAAATTGTAATTTCTAATTAGGCGGCTTACATTAAGTGTAGAACTCATGCTATATTTTAGAGTTAATTGCGCATAGAACTCTATGCTAAATCAATATAGTTAAAGAATGAGGGCTATAACAGAGTACATATCCTATCAGAACGGCCTGCATACAAAATATATGCGGACGATGAATTAAATTCCGAAACTGCTCCCTATTTTTGTACGTAGAACAGAGTATTCTGGGAACTGTTACTGATTATATTATAATATGATATTGTTTGCAAATGAAGGCTTGGAGTAATGGGAGGCTACACAATGTAAAGCACAGAGTAATATGCAACAAAGCTGTCCCCCGACTGTCAATTGCCTTCTTCCTGCTGGTGCCGAAAGACGGTAAGGTGGAGGCTCCGGCCGAGCTGGTGGACTCCAGCCATCCTCGGCTCTACCGCTCCTTCGAGTACGTAGAGTACAGAAAGCTTCTGCTCTCCACAAAGTCATTCACAGGCGAAGCCCTCTCTCTTTTAGCTGACGATGCTCCAGGGGTCACCAATGTTTAGTTTTCTTCGATCTCGTTGTTGGTTGTTTCTTATTACTAGAAGAGATTTGTCTCAGATTAATGAATTTTAGACTATAGCTTCACTCTTTCTGGGCTAGTAGCTAAAGGAGGAAATAACTATGACCGATGCATGGTGGTTTGTGACTTGGATTCTTTCTGCTCCTGCGGTAACCAGGAGAATTCCGTGAAATTGATCGAGGGAGAGAAAGGTGCACAATATATGTAAAAACTAAGGCTAAATATCATTAAAAAAAACACTTTAACTTTGGACGGTTGTAAGAAAACTTTTTTTTAACATTCAAGATATTAGAAAACCTCCCTAAGTTTAGGGGTTAATAATTATAACCCCGTTTAACTTCGAGGGATAAAATCTCACAACTAGAAAGGGTTTTTTTTCAAAAAAAATCTAAAAGTGTGAACGTGGGATGGGGGGACACGAGATGGTGGAACCCCCCAATGCTCCCCCATGCTCACCCATACGCTCTTTCTCACCTCTCCTATTTATAGGCAAAGAAGAGGGGACAAGAGAGTACGAGTGAGCATGGGGAAGCATGGGGGGAGCATAGGGGGTTCCACAATCTCGTGTTCCCCCATCCCACGAATCTCTCAAAATTCCCACACCCTTTTTCTTTACTTCCCGGTGACTTCTCTCTTCCTCACATTTCCTATTTATAGACAAAGAAGAGGGGACAAGAGAGTATGGGTGAGCATGGGGGGAGCATGGGTGAGCATGGAGGGTTCCACCATCCCACGTTCACAAAAAGCTAAAAGGCTCTTTGATTGTGAACCTTTTCAAAGTCACCCGGGGGGTGAATAGGATGTGATGGGGTCCAACTATTCACACTCCCAAACAGTAACTTTGGAGGTGTGTGAGGACTAAATTGCCCTTCTCCCAAGCCAAAACAGGTCAAGTCCATTCCAGAAACACCCTCAACATCAAAAGGGCATTTTCGGCAATCCAACTCCGATGGCGATCCGTAAACCCTAGGGTCAACGCCGGTCAACGCGTAACCCTAGGTCAACGACAGTCAACGCGTTGCAATCAGAGTCAACGTTCAATGATTCAAAACCCTAGGGTGGACGCCGGTCAACGCGTAACCTTAGGTCAACGCCAGTCAACGCGTTGCAACAAAATTCCCACACCCTTTTTCTTTACTTCCCGGTGACTTCTCTCTTCCTCACATTTCCTATTTATAGACAAAGAAGAGGGGACAAGAGAGTATGGGTGAGCATGGGGGGAGCATGGGTGAGCATGGAGGGTTCCACCATCCCACGTTCACAAAAAGCTAAAAGGCTCTTTGATTGTGAACCTTTTCAAAGTCACCCGGGGGGTGAATAGGATGTGATGGGGTCCAACTATTCACACTCCCAAACAGTAACTTTGGAGGTGTGTGAGGACTAAATTGCCCTTCTCCCAAGCCAAAACAGGTCAAGTCCATTCCAGAAACACCCTCAACATCAAAAGGGCATTTTCGGCAATCCAACTCCCAAAATTACTGTTTGGGAGTGGATATAGCAAACATGGATGTAATGACAACTAATTAAGGTCAAATTCAAACTTATACTAATTCTGTGTCTTATATGAATGCTCTCGGAACGGGATAGATAAACACATTAAACAATCACCACAAAACGCACTATTATCTCAAGACTTGGCTTCAACCCGCAACAATGCACGTGTATGGTGTTATTAAAGTGCCGAGAACGATGAATAAATAAGAGTAAATTACACTAAGCTCCCGAGAATTTTTAGCTGTTCGCAGTAAAACCCTAATAATTAACCTTCAAAATCGCACTAGACCGTCAATAGCTTTTGTAGAAACTCCCCAAAGTTAAAGCCGTTACATCTAACATGGCACATGCAAATCACATGACTTAAAGAGACTAAAATACCCCCTCTAAACTATTAAAAACCACTTTGTAACCTTTTTTTTAATACATTTTCAGCCCTACAAACAGAAATATATCATCTTTTATCATTTGTTCACCTCTTACTCACTTCCAGGTTGGGATCCCGAACCCTTCTTGTGCTGGAATTGTCCTTCAAATTTTTTTTAATGTTACTTATTCTAATTTATGGGGTTATCTACAAAATGCAGAAATTTATCAATGAGTTTCTACAATTCTAAAAAGTCATTGGAGGTTAAATGTTTGGTGGGATCCACAGATCACTATCCCGTGGGTCTTGATTTCCTTTCTTCCAATCATTTTTAATTTGTGGTTTTTTGGCTTTTAACTCAAAGATTCACCTTAATTATTTAAAAATACACTCACTTCCATAAACACATATACACCCAAAGTATTTTATATAAACCCAATCTATCGCATACCCTCAAATTTTATATTGTATCTCCCAAATTTTTTTCTAAAATAGTAATTTCCTCTCTTCTTCTAACTTAGTGATCATGCTCTCCATCGCATTAATGGTGATGACGCGAGAAATTTATTTTTGCGCACTGCTCCCTTTACTTCTCAAACCCCAATTTAGCATATTTACCTTCTTCAATATCTCTTTTTTCCTAATAAAAACAATTTAGGACATTCTTATAAAATTTTGATTGGTATAGTTTTGTGAAATTTTGTTCTTTTATGAAATTCGTGATTGTCACTTACATACATGCTCATCTCCTTATTTCAGCAAGGATTTGTATAGATCCCCTCATAGAATGAGATGATCTATAAGATTGGTTAAAGAGTTACTTTGAAAACTTCAGCTATGTTACCCGCGGTGTAAATTAGTACCAGACACACAAGTTTGATATGCGGGAGCAAGTGAGAATAGAATGCCAATTTTCACTTATAATTATTTTACACCAAACACAACATGTTTTTCAACGGCTAAAATTTTAATTCTCGGTTCTAATTAACTCTCACTTTTACGTGGAAATGATAATTTCCAATGAAATATTTGGAAATTAACTTTTCCACGTGCGTGGGAATCAAGAAAAATGTAACTTCTTATCTCCACTTCACTCCCTTCTCCGCAGCCTCAAAAAGCCTAGAATATTTCGTTGGACTGAGAATCCTCGCAGCAGCCCAATAATAAGAGGGCCCAATATCAATACTAAACTTTTTTGACATATTTCGGCCCATCAGCGGCCAATGCACACCGAATGCAGGGGGCAGCAGAGAGGGAGGGCCGAGGGGGTAGAGCTGTTGCTGTCGCCACCACAAACACGAGGGGCTAATCTCAATCCACAGAATCCCAAACTCGTTTACGAAGAAAACCCAGATCCCAAAACCCCTCTCATGATCAAAAACCCACAACAACAATCCCAGTTTCAGAGCAGATCTCTTTTAATTTAGGCTTTTTTTTTGGGGAGGCTCAATAAGAAAGGAGAAGAATGAGCAGAAGCTGGGTGAGGACTTTAGGGAACGTGAGATCTTTTGTAGGCAACGCGCTCGGGGGATTGAGAGGAGGAAGCAATTTGGCTTCATGGGCTGTCGCTGGAACTCTCGCTTACTTCCTCTGGGTCAAGCCCCAAAGAGAACTCAAAAGACAACAGGAGGTACAATTTTCAGTTTTTTTTGTTATTATTTACAAAAATCCTTCTGCCCATTTAGATATTTTGTTGTACTTTTAAAGGGCTTGTAGTCATGTGGGCAAGTTTCTGATCAGTGAGTTTGGAGCCCACAATTGTTTGTTAGATTTTATTGAATAATGGCTATGACATGCTTTAACATAGATATTTCTCTATTGTGTTTTATTATTTGTGTTCGTATGATCTCCATTTATCTATTTAATATGCCACAACAATGCTGCAAATTTGCATTAATTTAATATGAGAGTTTAGAAAGCACTATGTGATAATCATGTGCGTATGAATGATTTGTAATAATAATGAGAAAGCTGTCATATAATGGTTTTCAGAAATTAAGGTAAGAAGAATATTATTAATTGTAAGCATTGTATTCTAATTTTTAATTTTATTTTGAATTTTGTTATATATTAATGGTGTTTAGATACTAATCGATTGTGCAAATTTTTTTTTGGAACCCATGGTTATCTTCTCTTTTGCCTGTTTGTTTGATGCATCAAGAGGATGCCTGTGTTAAACCTTTTGGCTCATTTTTGTTGCACAAACGGGCTGGTTCCTCGATACTGTTTTTATTTTTATTGGAGAGAGTGGTTTTCTATAGACAAGATTCTTTCAAAGACATTGTTCTGAATCACTGCTAAGTTCACTTTTCACAGTCTAATTAGCTATAATAGATGGCTATAGGAAGTTACCTTTGAATTTTTTTCAGGATGATTGATATGCATCATTTTCATGATTTTGCTGTAAAGTTATACCTCCATCGGCCTTATAATATGTGTATGTGAGGCATTCTGTTCTATGTGTTTTTTGGACTTAAAACTTATCTACTTCTGATAAATATTTACACATGCCTTTCTTGTCTAATCTTGTTCAAGAGATTGTTTTTTCCCCGTACAATCACGTGTTTTGTTTTTTCCCCGTACAATCACGTGTTTTGCAGAACACTTAAAAGTTAGCGGTGTACTTTGCATTGCATCTCTGGTAGGTCCAACTCTTTTAAGCCATAGCTTCTCTTGAGAGAAGCTTACTGCACTTGGGAGTTAGTTTGTGCTTTCTTATGGATATAAATAAGAAAGAACTTGTGATATCATAAATCTAGAATAGTAAGGACGATGTAGAAGGGGGAAAAAGGTCCTATAGATAAGCTCTCTAAAGAAATTCCAATACTCAACACAAACTAAGTTGGCAGTCGGTAGCAATCTATCGTTGAGGTTTTGTTTGGATACTTGTCAAGTTTCCCTTTACTGTAACTAATAACTTTCAGATTTGTGTTGAGCCATTTGTTTCATTATACATCCACCCTGAATGATTTTCTATAATGAGCTCTCTATAGGATTCTTTCTTCCAAATCTCTTAGAAAATTTTTATTTTTAATGAAAATTTTAAATTATGTGGAGGTAAAAGCACTGGTAATGTATGAAGTGAAACACAACCCTCAACTGTTATCAGATGATCATGAGAAAGTGGTCCCTATACTGTCAAAGTTACGTGAGAAGGATAAGAATATATTACCACCATATGGCTGATAGACTATTTCAGTACTCAGATACATGACCTTCACGTCACTATAAGAAAACAATGCGGACGTATATAGTTGTTTATCAGCACCGGAAATTTGAAAATATATGCTGTTAACTATTAGCATTTTACATTATTGTTTTCAGAAGACACCCAAAATCTTTTGCATTTCAAGAAGTTTGAAAGTTAAAAGTATTGCATCCTTTAATCGTATAGAAACCAATTAGGGAGCATAATGCACTGAGTCAGTAACAAGACTTACCTCTATTTTGTTTTTTCTGTTTTTCCCCTAAAAAATCCCTCTATTGCCATCGTCATCTCATAACAACCGTTATCTCCTTAGATGAATCAGTTTAGTGTTGGCCATGGATGACATGTGTCATGTTCAAGTATGCCAGACAAGCCAATTTTTCTTGGGGGAAGTGACATAAATATCATTTATGATCAGTAAGTCTGGACTTAATTGGATCGATTATTCTGATTGATGACTTTGACAGTTTGAAGACTTGAAGAGAACCTCCACTGTATAAGCAGCCCTTTCTGATTGCTCTTTTTCAATCACAGGATCAGTGCAAAAACTTAGGAGCTGTAAGATATACATTTCCATTGAGATGAATTTTTTAACCTTTTTGGGGGTAAGCAACATATTTTTACTCACCTTTAAATTATAATGCGTGCCAACAGCGACATCTAAGTATCATTTGGTGATGATGAATGAATGTGTCCTAATCTATTCAATCATTCGTATAACGTACCATCCTTTTCCTGGCTTCTGCCAAATTGAATATGGGAAATTGTTTGTAAGTGATGAATGAATTGATAATATATCATATATGTCAAGCCTAAATGTCATGTTTCTTATTCATCCAACCTAAATGTCATGTAGCGATGACAAATACTGGTGGTAACCAATTCAAACTTCCCTTTATATTTCGATTTTAACCTTTTCGGCAAGAAATATCTTTTTTCTCTTCTTTAGATCATAATGTCTACAAGTAGTCAGTCTAAGTTTCATGTAGTGATGATGAACGAATTTTCAATAACCAAACTGATCATTCGTACAACGAACAATCCTTTTGTAGCCTGATCTTTTCCGCGTTGTTCTTTTACGAGTTCTTCTTTCTTTTTCTTTTCTTTTCTTTTCTTTTCTTTTTCTCTTTTTTTTTTTTTTTTGAAGGATAAAAGAACACTCTGGCATCCATTACATCAGCTTTGGTTGAATGAAAAGACCCTTGGAAGGGATCATTTTCATGAAATGTATACATCTATTTGAAGATTTCTATGTTTTTATCTTGTAGGAGAGAGCAGCTTTAGCAGCAGCGAATGATCCTTATCGTTATGTTGAGAAGACAAAGCCCATTCCTGATCCTCAGGTATTCTTCCAACTTTGACGAACTGTTTATATCATGGTCACTATAATGATGATTTTGCTCATGAACTGAATCTATATCATGATTATGTTGAGACTAATAGCATCTACTTTATGTTGTCGAAATCAGGAGAGAGGAGTGATATATGGAAACAAAGGGCAAAGCAAGAAACCAGACAGCTGATTCATATAAATCTGCAACTACAACTGTGATTTACTACCCCTAGAGCGAGAGAAACTTTTTTGTTTATGTATAAAATTTGCGCAATAATTTGATGAACTGGATGTACAGAGAGAATTAAAATTTGCTTTTCTTGTGCTGTTATGGATCAACTGTTTCATGTTTTTCTTTATTATTGTCGATCTGTAGAATTCACGCACCAAAATAGATTAGTCGCGGGTTCTGCTCATCTTATGGTGCAACGTAGTAGGACAGGAAAACTATTGTAAGACCGTAAAATCATAAGTACAACTTTGACGCTCTGCTGGATTGAAAGAGACCTTAAAATCATATCAGAACAGTTCATATTCAAATTCCATAGAATACACGTATATTAAAGCAGGTGTTGGTTCAATGAAGGGGACAGCCTTCACCTCCGTCAGCAGATAACAGATTCACTCTCGTTATCAGGACGTGCAGAGTTCCTCTTAATGTACTCCAAGCAATCAGACATTGCCTCCGCATAGAATGAGCTCGGCGATCTCAGCCTGCGGTATGTCTGACCTCCGTATCGCTCGCCCAACGTCAGACCTCTTTGGCTTCCGCTCAGGCCATCGCTCTGCCACCCGCTCGAACTTTCTCTCGGTAACAACTGGAAGCCATTGTTGAGGATACCAAGCATGGCAAAAAGCTTTGCGCGTATATGGCGAATAGAGAACAGGGTAAAATTTATGCGAGAACGACGCATCCTGCGCCACTTTGGGCGGAGCTTGCTGTAACCGTGGTAACCCATCTTTGTTACCTTGAGGGAGTGAGCTGGCTGCAGAGGATACTTATACCTCAAAAAGCTCTGGAGGTTGGCGAGGTTTGAATTGAATTGGTTACCCTTTTCTTCTCAGGGTAAATTTGCTGCGCATTTCTCAGATAACGTACCCTCTTAACTTCCAAAAGTGTAACAAAATCCCCCGCCTTGATCCCGTCAGCGTTTTGCGTGCACCCCTGATTATGAGCTCTGTAATCTAATTATGATCAGTCTGTCACTTAATCTCCATTGTCATGCAACGGGCTACCTATAATTATTCTTTAGCTTGCTTGCGGTTAATATGAAAGATCACAATCTTTGAATTCTAGACGAACTCAGGCGCCTAACTTTCTATGGTTTTGGCTAGAATTTAAGTTGTTCTCTGTGGGGACTTCATTCATCGTAGCTGACCCGCAGAGGGTCAAAGGAGCAGATGAAAAGAGCTAGATTTTTTTTCTAAATTCAGTACGCTCCTACACTTGACAATTGGGGTCGCTACGGGTTTGGGCAGCGACGCGCTCGATCCCTAACGGTACGGAGTTGGCATGGTTAATAAAGAACACTTGAAGGTTATGATCCAAATTATGATAAATGGACCTCTTTAAGATTAGTAGTTTAGCTTCATTGTTATTATTAGTGTTAGTAGATGGAACGGAATATACTATACAAACTAAACTAATATTTATGCAATTTTTTAGTATGTTACAGTAAAGTGTATGTAGATTATATAATTTGGCTTATTGAGATTGCCGACACCAACTGGTTCTATGGTGTAGTGGTTAGCACTCTGGACTTTGAATCCAGCGACCTGGGTTCGACTCCCGGTAGGACCTCGCTTTTTACTATTCTTTCATAGTAATAATTTACGATAGTCCAGATATTTTTCTTTTCCTTTCTTTTCTTCTTATAAAAAATTTTACAGTGAATTTATTCAAAACTTCTTCTTTTATAGTAATAATTTACGATGGTTCAGATATTTTACTTCTCCTTTTTTCCCTTAAAAAAATTTACAGTGAATTTATTCAAAACTTCAAATACTTAAATAGTTCGAAGATTTTATCCTAGAAATTTTTATGGTATTCGTTAAGGCGCTGTTTGGTTGTTGTTGGTAAAGTTTTGTATTTATGACACAACTTAGAAAGTTGTTATCCACCTCATCAATTTTACTTTTATACTTTTCTTTGTTTGTTTTTTATTCCATCGGAATCATAAATTGCTTGTTTGGTTTGCAAATGTAACTTTAATTGTTTGTTTGGAAAGTGTAAAAAGTGGTCCCTACTCAAATGATCATATTGGTTGGAATTGTTTTTTATTATTTTTTTTTGGAAAGTGTAAAAAGTGGTCCCTACTCAAATGATCATATTGGTTGGAATTGTTTTTTATTATTTTTTTTTCCTGACTTCAATGTCATGTTTCTCCTAAAATCATGTCTTTTTTTATGAAATCATTTTACAAGTCACATCAACATATGAAATCACTTTACACTATTTTTACTACTACAAACAAACAATTGAAAGTGGTGAAAACTGACATTGGGACCCACTTTTTTACACTTTTTATCCTTTTACATGATAAAAACATACAATCAAACAGCCCCTAATTCTCTTTAATTTTAAAGCAATTTCACTTTAAAAACATTAGTGTGAACAAAAAAAAATCTGGAATCTTCAAGCGATGGAGAAAAGTAAAATGAAGATGGAAAAGGATTTCATCACACGTAACTGTCGAAGATGATGGCTGGTTGGTGGTCGTGGATGGTAGCCAACGAGCACGAGGAACAAATTATCGCTACATTAAATAACATGTGTCAATTAGAGAACTTTTTTTTTTTTTGCAAAGGTACATAATAACATACGTCTTTAATAAATTTTTAATTTTAAAATAAAAAATTTCGGAACAGATATTTAGAACACCTCTCTTGCTACAGTGCACGGGACTCATATGATATTTTAAAAAATAAAATATCATGTGGGCCCGTGCATTGTAGCAAGAGAGGTGGTATGGTTGGGAGTATAGTATAGGGTGTGCCTCTATCATTATTTTATTTAGAAACCCAAGCATCAATAAATAATTGAGCCTGACGAGAGAAAACCCACCCCCAAAGCAAACAAAACTATGTGCCTCACTGTATTTGGGCCCCAGGATTGGAACCTACCCCCACTCCCTTCTAGATAACTCCGCGACCCACAAACAAACAAGGGATTTTTAGATGTCAGTCCCATACATCTTTAATAATTGTAAATATTGGAAATTTTCATTTGGTCCGTTAAATCTTCAATATTGTACAATAGTCACTCACTCATCCTAGAAATTACACATTAGTCCCTCGAATCCTATAGAGTCTTGCGAAACGGTCCTTCGAGTTAAATTACGTTAGATTTGGGTTAACATCCTGCCAAACCCAACGTTTGGAGGCGAAGTGTTTACTTTACCCCTCTATAATATTCCCTAATGCATTTGTCAATAGGTTTAAACCTAATAAGCTTGAGTTTATCTTCTCTAATGATTAGCAAAAAATCATAACTCAAAATTAAGCTTCACAAAATGTTGAAACATCAGATCGACGGATGACTCAGTTACTGCAAAATTTGGGTTAAGGATTAACTCAACCATGATCAGTTTTTTTTTTTTTTTTGAACTAAAATTCCAACCGAGGGGCCATTTTGCAAGCCCCTACATAAGGTTTGAGGGATTGATATGCAACTTCTAAGATTTAGAAGAGTGATATGTAGTTATTTAAGATTTAAGCGGCTAAAGTTGAACTTTCAAGATTCGATGGGCTGATTTGCAATTATTAAAGATGTAAGGGGCTAATATTTAAAAATCCCCAACAAACAAACAAGCGGACAACCAATTGCCTCCATCGCCAAATCCCCCTCAATAATCACAATCCCCAATCTCTATCTCTTATCTCTTCTCTCTCTCTCTCTCTCTCTCTCTCTCGATAGAACCACCAATGTCTTCTCTTTCTCTCTCCTCAATCTCCTCCGCCTTCCTCCCACAAAGCCCATCAAAGCCCACGATCAAGAACCCCACGAGAATCAAACTCCCCCCTCTCTCGGTTACGGGGAAGAGGTACAAGGGGACGGCGATGAGGGAGGAGATGCTGACGGAGATGATCGTGAAGAAGGTGGCCGAGGCCATGGAAGTCTGCGGCGGCGATGAAGCCAAGGGCTCCGACGGGTGCAGGGTCGCTTGGGACGAGGTCGAGGAGGTCAGCCAGGCGAAGGCCCATCTCAGGCGGAGGATCGCGGAGAGCGAGGCCGACCCGCTGGAGTCGTTCTGCGAGGATAACCCCGAGACCGATGAGTGCAGGGTCTACGAGGATTGACGGCTTGGTCCGTTACACTAACGATGTACCACGTGAATGGCGAAAAAATATTTGATGATATAATGATTTTGTATGGCGTAAGAAAGTGTGTTGCTTTAATGGGTGACTAGTTCTTGCTTTTTTTTTTTTTTTTTTAAGATGAGTGACTAGTTGTTGGGATGTAAAGAAAGTGTGTTGCTTTAATGGGTGACTAGTTCTTGCTTTTTTTTTTTTTTTTTAAGATGAGTGACTAGTTGTTGGGATGTAATTGATGTTGTGAATATTAATGTTGAATTGCTATGTCGTGTGATGAGGTTTTGTATGGGAAAATGATAGCGGCGTACCCCCCAACCACAACCTCAGTCACACCCCCTCTTATTTGCTACAGTGCATCGGGTTCCACATGGGATTTTAAAATTTTAAAATCCCAAGTGAGACTCAGTGCACTATAGCAAATGAGAGAGTGGTGTGGTTATGGATGTGCTCCTAATGTCATCCTTTTGTATGGGGTAGTGATAACTAGAGTTGACTGTGGGCTGGGTCGAACTAGCCGGCTGATCCGTCCCAGACCGCAGTGGGTCGCGACCCGGCCCGGTCAAAAGTGGGGTCATGCTCGATCTGGTCTAAATATATCCGGGTCATGGGTTGGGCTAACTCCTGATCTGAGATTAGAGAAGTAGATCTGGCTCACGCTGGCCCGGCCCACACCTGATCCGTTCCGACCTATGACATATGTTTTGGTTAGACTAGCTCTTTCTTTAGCTCTTTGGGTCTGCAGTTAGTTGCCAACAAAGCTAAAAAGTCGTAGCCTCGTAGGTCTTTAGTTCATGGGTCTTTTAGCCCATTGAGAAACAAATCATCTTAAAGCTCGTTATTATCTACTTGGAAGAATTAAAAAGTTTAACGCAAATTTAAAAATAATTCGATACAAGTTTATATTACTAAAAACCAAATTAGAAATAATTTTATTAATGTAAATATAAGTTTAATATAATTAAAAAGATAAAAAAAAAGAAAAAAATTTGGACGAAAAAACAATGGGCCGGCCTACAACCCACGAGCCGTGGCCCATGTCAGACCTAGCCCGCATATAGACGGGTCGTGAGCTAGGCTCGATCCAGTCCCAGACCCGGGATCAGAACAAAACCGATCTGACCTTGAATTATTTCTTTACTGTAAGAGAAAAAGGTTTACATTTTCACTCCAAAATCGGTAACTAATGGTGTGAGTAAATTGTATACAAAGTTGAGATTAGCATACTTGTTCTGCAACTAGTCTTTGTAAAAAAGATGTAAATAAAAAAAAATGAAATTCCACAAGAAATGTAAATGCAGTCGCTTTAATGTGGGCTGAGATAGCATTAGGACCACGATGTTATTTTTTCAAGAGTAGGATTTAGACGGAATGGGACTTTGATCTGATCTATAACACCTACTTTGAAAATTTGATTAATAATGCTAGCGTGTAAAATTACGAAAACTTAGTCATCGTAACTTTCAAGATTAAATCTTGTTCGCCATGCATTTAAAGTAACAACAACAACAACATCAAAGCATCTATCCCAAATGTTTAGGATCGGTTACATGAATTATATTTTTCTATTCAATTTTATTATGGGACATCTTTTCCGTTAAGTTAAACATTATTGGAGACGTATTTAAAATGGATTACAAAGTTAACATCAAAGCATTTATCCCAAATGTTTAGGATCAGCTACATGAATCATATTATTCTATTCAATTTTATTATGGGACATCCCTTCCGTTAAGTTAAACATTTTTGGAAAAGTATTTAAAATGGATTAAAAAAATTTGTTGTCATATTAGTTCTCGATTTAGCCGATGTAGAGAGTTTTCACCCTACGACTACGAGGACATACTAGATCTTAAACTTACAACTTGAGTTTATATCATGACTAAAAAGTTCTGATGCAATTGAAGAGGACGAGAAATAAAACTTCAAATTTCTGGTGCAATCAAAGGGCCTGAAAAATTAAAGGCGTGAAAGTAACAATTTGGGCACTGATGGGTTATGGGCTATTGGTCCTCGCCTTTTCCTTGTATTGAGTTCCGATGGCCCACGGGCTTTGGTAATTGGCCTTCAACCTCATCCCAGCAACGGGCGTGACCTGGTTATTATCCGAATACTGACTTTTTTTTCTCTCTTTGTTTTATTATTACTAGTTTTTATGCACGTAGTTAAATATCAAAATAATTTATTTTTTAAATTTTTATTATTATAAATAAGATAGATTCATTTTGATTATTAGATTTGATATAATTTTTATTTACTACATTATAAAAAAATTGAGGTAATGGATTTTTGTACTAAACTAGGATCAATATAGTTAACTCGGATATCTTAATTGATTCCCTAAGAAAAATATATCAATTGATATAATAATATCTTCAAGCGGAATAGTAAAAGAAATTAAGTTAAATTGATACTACATGTCATATTCCAAACTCTACTAATCCCAAACAATAATATGGAGTTAAGCGTGAATAGCAATATCATTATGAATTGTATTTCTAGCAATAAAGAAACCACATTTCTTATTGCATTGAAAACATAATTGCACAACACTTTTGGACATTCTAAGCTCTTGTTTTATAATAAACAATCTAAAAAAAGAAAACATTAAAAAAAGTACGATAAGCATGATACACACACGTGCGCGCGGGCACGCGCGCACACACATACATATATGAGATCTCACCCCACATTATTTGATAGACTTAAAATAATAAAAAGACAAAAAACTAAAGATTAATGATAACTATAGTATACTTTTGGGTGTTTTGAGTTGTGGATAGGATAGATGATGGTTTTTCGAAACAGTAGGTGTGTGGGTGGGTAAATAATTTTTGTTTGTGTGGTATCCTAATTAGAAGCCCAAGAAACAACCTTGGGCTTTTCTATTATGGCCCAGATCTACCTAGACCTATTTTATATCTATAAGTAAGGGTTAATTTCTCAAACCCCCTTGAACTTTGGGAGTTGTTGCACATAACTCATTAAACTATGTTTATCTCACATAAACCCCCTAAACTATGGGGTGTCTCGCAAAATCTTGTTGAACTTTATCTTATCCTACACAATCAAACTTCATGTAATTTGTAAATAACTAAAATATTATTGAGTGATGAAAATCTCAAACTTCATCACTTGTCGTTTAGACACAACATACCCCCCCCCCCCCAAAAAAAAAAAAAAAATGTGAGGCTTTCTATAGTTCAAGGGAGTTAAGTGACATAAACAAAGTTTAGAGGTTATGTGCAACACCCCCAAAGTTTATGGGGTTTCATAAAATTAACTTCTTCAAATAATAAAGTCCAACACCTAAATCAACACATTTGTTTTCTACTCCGCCCTCAAAAACCATAACTCTAATCCATAAAAAAAAGAAGGAATTGAATAATGAAGAATAAAAGACAATGTCCAGAGAAAAAAAAGAAGAAGAATGAATTGAATAAGGATTGTTGGGTTTGTACATAATAAAGAGCAAAAGACAAGACAAGAGTCGAGAAATATATTAATATATACTTGAATTAATCAAATTATATTATTACTCATTATTGATATGCGTTAGAGACTAAATGTGTTAATAATCTTAAACTATAAAACAGAATGTATGTGCCCTCTAACATAACATTTTTACTACAAGCAACCCTCAAGATTAATTTTAAAACTCTTTCAGGATAAGGAATAAAAAACTAACAAGTTTGTAGTGGAAGTTAGTGGAACATAGTACATTCTTAAGAACCATTAATATTTACTTAATTTTTTATAATGACAGTATCTCATTATTAACTAACTACAAGGTCTACTACATTATTTTTTTTTTTTTTTGTGTTCAAGGAAGGCAGAGGACTCAGGTGAGTCCTCATCGTAATGAATGTTATACAATTTAAGTCTAAAGGAAAAAAGAAGGATTGATCAATGATGTAGTGGGTGAGGGGGAGACCCCAGCAGCTTAAGTTGGGTTTAGATGTGGATATATTATAGATGGGGATGGAGAAGAGTGGTTTTAAAAATAGTGGGTGTGTGTGTGGGTAATTAATATGGTTTTGTTTGTGAGGTTTTTTTCGTTTATTTTCAAGATATCAGTAGTACTGTGGATATATAGTTATAGCATTGTTACTCTCTTTTAGTTTTGTGAAAGAGTTCGGGTGTAAAGAAAAAATATTAAATTATCTAATCAAGTTAAAGTAGGGTCATATAAGCTAACCTCATATATGAAATTTATTTTAATCAATACCCATATATAAGTATTACAATTGGTATTGAGATCTCAGATACATGTGAAATTCTCTTTGATTTTTATACAAAGAGCATCTATTTAAATAATAATAGTATAATTAAACTTTATCAAACATTTAATCTAATTAGAAAAAATAACAAAGACACATACCTATTGAAGGTGATGAAAGTGTTGCGTAAAATTGTTGCAATTTCTTGATCTGAAAAAGATCAAACATGCAATATAATTAATTGCTTTAAATTAATCTAATCTAATCTAACAAAAAGAAATAGATGAAAATGCTGTGAAAATTATTGCTATTTCTTGAAATAAAAAGGAAGATCAAACATACAGTATAATTAATTGATTTAAAATAAATTAATCTAATCTAATAAGGAAAAAAGGCATGTACTTGTAGAAGGAGATGAAAGTGTTGTGGAAATTATTGTATTTTTTTGTCTTATATATATTGGTTTATGATGTTGCATGTGAGAGGATAACAATTATAAATAAAGTTCTATTTAAATAATAATACTATAATTAAACTTTGAAACTAATTATGCAATACCGTGAACTACTTGAACCACATTGTGTCCTCAGATCAGAGCCATTTGTTTTCATTTTCCTTTTTTATATTTTTGAGAACGATTTTATCTCTTTAATTTGTTTGGTGGATTTTGTAGAAAATATATGTATACAACCGTCACATATCTTGCATACTTAATAATTATTATCAATTACAAGTACATATGATTTTTATAATTCTATCACGTTTTTTTTTTCAGGTTTACATTTCGATTAAACTATATCCTTATCTTCATACTCTGTTTATACTATGATTTATTTTTCTTTTTTTTATTTTTGTCCCTTTAATTTGTTTGGTGGATTTTGCAGATGCTACAACCGCCATA